GCATTATATATAACTAATAATGATAAAAAATTTCTTTTCAATAAAATTTGAACAAAATCACTATTTAATTTATTAATTTGAATAGTATTCATACGAGATTATATAAGTATAATTTATAGTACTCATTAAGATAATTTGAAAAAATTCTAACATCAATCCTAGAAAAATACTTATGTCCTGTGCTCCTTGCGAAAAATAAAAAAAACACATGTTATAACTTCCTAATCGTGATCTTTTATAAAATAATAGTACAATTTATTCTTTGAGGATTTTAGTATTTTTAAATTACAATTAATCAAAACTATACGGGTTTGAAAAGAGGGTATATCAATTCAAAAAGGATAACCATTATAAGAAAAAAATATGTGCTGTCTTTTATTTACTCAGATTAAGTCTAATTTATAGATTAATAAAAATTTGAATCAAATTAAAACTTATTCAAAAAGATGAAAACACAATAAAGTAAATAGAGGTGAAAATTCAAATTTGTATAAAAAGGAGGGTTTTGATTTAAATTCTAAGAAAGATGGAATATGGATAGAATTCACAGATGGATATTAGGGGTATTTATGTTAAGCAATTGTTAAATTGTTAGTAAAAGTTAAATGATTTAATGTGGTGAATAGAAAAATAGTCGAAAAATTGATAAATGGATTATTTTTTGAAGGAAAATTTAATATCAAACATTTAAATAAATGTAACACATAGAATATTGATATTTCTAGAATTCCAAATAATGATGACGACTCTGATGATGACAAAACAGAAGATTAAGATATTCAAGGTTCAATTAAAATTGGATAGAGTTTATTAATTATCAAGAGTATTTTTGTTATGATTATGTAATTAGCGATTGTTTAGTTCTGTATAGTGGTTAATATAGTAGAAGTAAACAAGTTGTTAGATGGGATGGGCATTTTTAGGATGATTAAATATATAATAAAAATTTAAACTTTTATTATTTTAAAAAATGCCGAATAAAATAGAGGCGGAGGATTGTATGACAATAAACTAGGAAATTAATTAAGTTTGGTTTTTCGATAGAAGTGAGTGAAGGATTTTAAATGTATTTTTTTTTATTGCATATTTAGAGACAGGCAAGTCACTTTTATTGGGAAATATTAAAACGAAAGTAGAATTGATAAATTGGATACTTTCTATTAAGACGAATAGATGTAAAATATATTATATAAACTATTTATTTAACTCAAAAATTAGAAATAAAAACAGTGGGGGTGAAACTAATGATAAAGAATAAAGATAGTAATGTTATAAGTTCAAATAAAATCGAGAAATTGATTGAGTTGAGTGATTATTTTGGGGAGTAATTTTATTTCTTTATAAATAATTGATTAGCACACTAAAATAATATTTAAAGGTGAGTATCAGGATAGTCATAAATTTGGCAGATAGGATATTTAATATAATAGGGGGAGAAAGGAACAGTTTGAGGAGATGAAAGTGTAGATTATCATGAATTTTTGCAATTTTGCATGATTCACAAAAAGTGGAGGGGGATTTAATTGTTACAAGGATGATTGATTGCATTCGGTTGAATTGGAAAATGGATTAAGTTGATTTAATAGGTATTTTTATTTTGCAATAATAATATATGTTATTAGTTAAATCACTTTTAATGGTGAATATAAAAATGGTTAAAAAGTTGATAATTAGATTACATTGTGGAGAAAAAATAAATATCAAAGATTTAAATAGATTTATTATAAGAATTTTGACTATTTTATTATTAAAAAATACTTCGTGGTGGAGGATCATATGATGATAATCGAACTTATGATTTGCTGAATTCAATTAAGATAGGAAAGTTGATTGAAAATTAATGGATATTGAGAGTATATAACTATTATTAATAATAAAAGGTAGAAGAATAAAGTATGAAGGCAATTATAAAAATGGTAAAAATATTGGGAATTGGAATACTTTTTTATGAAAAATAGATTATCATTGATATATCAATTTTGAAAACGAAAATTGTGGTGGAGAATAATATTCTGAAAATTCACATGATTGTTTAGGTTCAATTAAAATTTGGAAATGGATTGAATTGAAGAATAAGTTTGGAATGGATATGGAGACAAGTAAGTGATTTTTGTTGGTAATTCTAAAATGGGAAAAAAGTTGACTATTTGAATGAGATGATTAGAGATTAGAATAATGGGAGAATAAAAAATATGTAATTATTTTCTTAAACCACTCCTTAATTGAGAATCAGAATAAAAATCTGACTCTTATTTTAATAAAGAAATAACATAATAGTATGAAGTATTACCGTACAGTAAATGTATCTATAGCTGTTTAACTTAAAGCAAATATTATAAAATTCAAGAGGATATAAAAAACATTATGATGTTTTAAGTAGCTTGATAAATTTAATTGGATAAGTATTAAAGTGTAACTAAATATCAAAAACTCTTTAGTAACCAGATATTTTTCGTTGAAATAATTTATATCACAAAGCATCTTATAATCGATATTTTACTCAATTCATAAAAATTTCTTATTTAAAAACTATCTTCTTCAATTAGTAATATTAATTTATTGCTATAATTAAACATAATTCAATTTTATTGCAATCAATTTCAAAGCAAAGAAATGTCGAGATTAACTAATAAATAAAATATTATAATTAAATTTTATTCTTTTAATTTTATTAGATCTAGACACTTTTAAAAAAATTTATAATAATTAAAAATTCTTAGTGTATGAGTGATTAAGAAAAGAATGCAAGTTTTATAAAAGTGAAAATTGTTAATACCAGCTTCATTACCTAATGAAATGAAAGAGGCTTTAAAAAGTGCTGTTGACAATTTTGCTTAAGAACATGCAGAGCCAGAAAAAAATAAAGAAAATGAAAATATCAGATGATATTAACATTTCATACTATAGACGAAATTGATGTTGAAAATTATTGTCCAACTTCAAGTAAATTTTTCCTACAGAATCGCGTATTGAATAGAATCTATAAACATCTGTTCACAAAAAATTTTTGATTTGGCCAAAACAATAGTGTTTCGTAATTAAAATATGAAGCGCTTTGGATAATCTCCATTATTGGGTTTGGCACTTAAAAATTAAAATAAAATATTTTAAATAATGATCGAATCAATATTCTTTTTCTGTTGCTTGAATCAAAATTTGTCGAAATAATTGATTTAAGAGTTTTGGCATTGGCAAGCATTTCTGGCTGGAGATAATATTTAATTTAAAGATAAGCTTCTCTAGAAAGGAGTATTTAAATCATTAATCAAATTATCAATTAGGTATAAAACTGATTTTGTCGTCTTCAACACAATAATGTTGGCTATTAGTAATTTAGCAAGAGGAAAAACCAACCACAAATATAGTAATTTATTGACTTATAAATAGTATTAAAAGAGATTAATATATATTCTTTCACATATAATAATTGGCATTGAGGATAAAGAATTGTGAATAGATGCTTGTTGGGGTTTGAGTTATTGAAACGAAGAAGAAAGTCAAATAAATACATTAATTAGTTATGGAGTTGTTGATAAATTAACTTTGTTATAGATTCTTAATATTTTAAAATCATATTACAATCTGAAAAAAAATAATTATATTCCCTGCTTTGAGGATCAAAGGAAATATTTTATCTGGTAATAAGACATAATCAGATCATATTTTAAAGACTGGAGTGTTATCAAGATTCGAAATATTACTTTAACATAAAAATAAAGATTCGAAGATAAGTCTAGTAAGGTATGTTTTTAAGTACAATATATTATTATAAATGAATCACTCTTGAAGTCCTAAGTAAACTATTAGATTAAGATATTCTAGAAATTAAAAAACAAATAGCTTTTTATCTGACTAATTCTGCAGAATTAGATGACTTAGATCATCTTGTTATGTCACATGAATTTATTAAAAAATTATCAAACCATTTAGATTCGAATAATAAAACAATAATTTAAGGAAGTCTTTAGGGGATTTTTGAATTTATAAAAGAGGTCATAATTATAAATCATCTAGTTCAATATGATGAAAAATTTTTAATTTCAAAAAAATTGATTAAAGTTCAAAAATTATAGAAAAGTTCAATAATTTTAAATTCATTTATCTAAAGTATAAAAATGCTAATAAAATATTAAGCCATCAAAGATATTTGAGAATATATGTATAATTATCTTAAAACATTTTATAAATGCTTCTAAATTAGTTCATAATATATATATATATATTAAGAATTATTAATAATATATTATTAATCTTATTAATCATTTAAAATTTAAATGATATTATCAATCATTACTTTCAATAATGAAATAAAAAGTTTCATTGTTGTTTTTAGATGAAACCACATTTACTCATCATTCTATAAATCCAAAGTGTTGGAAAAGGGGTGATAAAATATAAACAAATTTTACAAATGTAGAATTCACTACATGTTATTGGTTGTATAGGGTAAAACGGTTTTCGGTGTTTAAGGAATAGTTAATTAATACATTTTTGCTTAATTTTTAGAATAATTGCTGAAAGCTGCATAAATATTTTATTAAAACAAACCATATGTATTAATTATGGATAATTGTCCTATTTATACGAGCAAAATTACATATGAACATTTTCTAAGCCAAATTAATTATTTGCTTCTCCCCCATATTGTCCTGAAATAAATTCGATTGAGGGTGTTTAGTAATAATTAAAAAATTCTATTTATAAATAATAGCCCACTTCCGAATTTGTATTTCACAAAAAAATACATAATTACTTAAAAATTTATAATTAGGAACTTCATTAATATACCATCTACTCAAATATCAAATTACATTTGTGATGTCAATTTATATTGCTTTATTACTTTTAAATTGTCATATAATCAAGAATCACTTAATTCCATTTCAAAAAACGTATGTTTAATTAAACTTTCTATTCTTGCTTATATTAAAAATCATCTTTTATGAACTATTTTGAACATTTTTAAACTACCTGCTAACTATGAGAAAAATAATAATAATAATCAATTGATGAGTCAGGTTCTGGTAAAATTTTAAGTAGAGAACCCGCCAAACAAGTGTTGTGGCAAGAACATGCACTATTTTTACTAAAGCTAATTATATTTAGCATATTATGATCTAATATATAATAATAAGGAGTACTCATAGTAAAAATATTATGAGTAATTAGTATACTGTCATAAATTAGGTGATATTATTCTTGTAATTATTATATTTTACCTTAATCTTATTCATACAAATGAATGTATGTTTGGGTGTATTAATGCTATTATAAATTTACTTAAGGTTATATAAGGGGAAAAACATTTGTACAAGATGTTCCTTATATATTTAATGCTAAATCAAAGAATTAATGAATACTTATGGAGAGTTAATTGAATTCTGATAAATTAGAAATTCCATAATTATGAAGATATTTATAGTTTCTAGTGATGATTTGATTATGTTAAGAACAGTTACTTAAATAATGATAATGTATAATATTTATAAATGATTGAAGTGAATAATAAAGATTATAAAGTTAGACAAAATAATAAAACTGAATTGAAAACCAACCTGTAGCATTTTATAGAAAAGAAAAAGATTTTTGATTGTTGTTAATTTGCAAATAAAATCTTTAGAAATATTTGAATAAAATAAAAATGCAAATCAGTAAATTCTAATTCTCAATTTAAGAGTAGTACTTCAATAATCGACACATAAGCTCTCTCTTGATAAAACAATTTTGAGTTTTTGAATTAGTTAAGTAGTATTCGAATATCCTTCAGAAATTACGAATTTATTGTTAATTATTTTTTGTCAACCATCATTTTAACACATTAAGGAATAAATGCAATCTTCTCTAATTTCATATTTGATAGATTTATTTTTTTAATAAACTTCTTAAAATAAATTTGTTTAGTGTAGTATGACCTAAAAATAATAATTAGAAATAATAGTTTCATAATTAATAGATATTCATATGATGATTTTGGAATAAATAGATGTTATGTTTTAGAATACATGAGGAAAGGAAGTAAACTTAAGGTAATCATTAGTTTAACGATAAATGTATTTGAATAAACTCTTGAATATTACTTTATTTATAATAATATTCTTTTTAAAACAGGAGAATGATTTCTTATTATATAATAGACATGTTTAACAGAATTTGCAATTCAATTTAAATTTTATATCTTTTTTATCCAATTCCAACATAACAAATTAATCACAATCACAAACAATTTGACTCATCTATATATGAGAATTTAGTTTATTGAGTTTTAATTTTTAACATAAGTATCTGCATTTTTTATGTTTTATCTTTAAAAAATCCACAATTTCATTATTTCTTCTATTAGTCTCAACTTCTTCTACAAACTAATGACCAAAATTTATTAGTTTAAATCGAAGGATTTATAAGAATATATTTTTACACCTAAATTTTTAATTTCTAAATGCTGAATAAAAATATTTATTGCTTTATATTATATCATGTACTTTTCAAATTTTTATTTGTATATAAGTTTCACCACTCCAAAGAATGGTGTATCTAATTTGTAAAAAATTGTGTGGGCAAAAACAAAGGTTGCATTTCATATAGTAGATTATTATCTTTGAATTTCTAATAAAAGAAATCTGCTATTTGGCACTCATAACAAAATGAGTAAAGTCTTACTTTTTCAAGTTCTTCATCCACTGAAATGTCTTCATTACTGATTTTTTGATATAGTCAACCATTTTTTATAGAACTTTAAGAAAACCTTTTTTATTATATTTGGCATTAAAGGCCTTAATGAATATGTAAATTAATTATCATTTTCTTTTTAATTCTTTTTTATCCATTATTACCTTTAGATTATTGATACATTTCTTTTAATTGAATCAATAATGATTCAATTTTCATTTATTTTTTCTAAATCAGCTTCAAAATTTTAGAATTGATTATTTAAAGCTTTTAAGTTTTTGGATTCTGTAATTTCAACTGATTGTTGCAACATTTATCCAACTAAATCGACTAAATTTTTAGGTAATTTTTGTGTTGTAATTGTCATCACAGTCATTCTGTTTTTCATTTTTCAATCATAATATCTGTTTAATTGGTTTTATCACAACATAAAAAATTATACTGTGTTAATATAATTATATTTTTCTTTTTTTTCAAAACATCTTGAAAATAATTTTTTGACTTTTTTAATGTAGGGTTCCGATTTACTGTTATGTTAATCTCTTCCATAGCAAGGAGCATTAAAAATTAAAGAATTTACATAATAAGCTATCTGAATGATAAGGAAAATTGAGTTCTTGAGTCTGTTTGAATCCAGAAACTGCATGTTAGTTTCATCTCCTCCTTCAACTTCGAATGTCGAAATGAAGTCTTAAATTCAGTCATTTCTATTGTACAACTTTAAACTAGCTTTTCCTTGTCAAGTATACAAATAACTGAAAGGTTCAATAAATTCTCTTTTAAATTTTTTATCTGATATTTTTAGGCTTTATACTTTTTAACTGCTCTTACAATATTTTCATCAATCTCATAGTTATTCATTTTATGTAGAATATATGTTTATTTTGAATAATTAATAAACAGATTCAAATATCATTAAATTCATTTGAAGTGAACAAATAAATAAAATAGATAATATAAACATAATTGTATTTTACATGATTCTCTAATTATTTTAAGAATGAATAGTTTATTTTNAAAATTTATTAGTTTAAATCGAAGGATTTATAAGAATATATTTTTACACCTAAATTTTTAATTTCTAAATGCTGAATAAAAATATTTATTGCTTTATATTATATCATGTACTTTTCAAATTTTTATTTGTATATAAGTTTCACCACTCCAAAGAATGGTGTATCTAATTTGTAAAAAATTGTGTGGGCAAAAACAAAGGTTGCATTTCATATAGTAGATTATTATCTTTGAATTTCTAATAAAAGAAATCTGCTATTTGGCACTCATAACAAAATGAGTAAAGTCTTACTTTTTCAAGTTCTTCATCCACTGAAATGTCTTCATTACTGATTTTTTGATATAGTCAACCATTTTTTATAGAACTTTAAGAAAACCTTTTTTATTATATTTGGCATTAAAGGCCTTAATGAATATGTAAATTAATTATCATTTTCTTTTTAATTCTTTTTTATCCATTATTACCTTTAGATTATTGATACATTTCTTTTAATTGAATCAATAATGATTCAATTTTCATTTATTTTTTCTAAATCAGCTTCAAAATTTTAGAATTGATTATTTAAAGCTTTTAAGTTTTTGGATTCTGTAATTTCAACTGATTGTTGCAACATTTATCCAACTAAATCGACTAAATTTTTAGGTAATTTTTGTGTTGTAATTGTCATCACAGTCATTCTGTTTTTCATTTTTCAATCATAATATCTGTTTAATTGGTTTTATCACAACATAAAAAATTATACTGTGTTAATATAATTATATTTTTCTTTTTTTTCAAAACATCTTGAAAATAATTTTTTGACTTTTTTAATGTAGGGTTCCGATTTACTGTTATGTTAATCTCTTCCATAGCAAGGAGCATTAAAAATTAAAGAATTTACATAATAAGCTATCTGAATGATAAGGAAAATTGAGTTCTTGAGTCTGTTTGAATCCAGAAACTGCATGTTAGTTTCATCTCCTCCTTCAACTTCGAATGTCGAAATGAAGTCTTAAATTCAGTCATTTCTATTGTACAACTTTAAACTAGCTTTTCCTTGTCAAGTATACAAATAACTGAAAGGTTCAATAAATTCTCTTTTAAATTTTTTATCTGATATTTTTAGGCTTTATACTTTTTAACTGCTCTTACAATATTTTCATCAATCTCATAGTTATTCATTTTATGTAGAATATATGTTTATTTTGAATAATTAATAAACAGATTCAAATATCATTAAATTCATTTGAAGTGAACAAATAAATAAAATAGATAATATAAACATAATTGTATTTTACATGATTCTCTAATTATTTTAAGAATGAATAGTTTATTTTTTACTTCAACTATTATTAATCATAAATAATTCGAATACTTTTAAAAAGATAATCGCTCTTCAAAAGTAATATATGTCAAACAGTTATATTTTGTGTTTGACCTTAATTTAATAATTGAAAAATCGAATATTCATCTGATTAAAGTGTATTTTTTAAATTTTATTATTATTATTTTCTCTTATATGAATTGCTTTATTTTTTCATATATTATAATTTTCTATGTACACTAACTCAATGATTAATAATAATTTAACAACTTTATTTAATTTTCCGTGTAAGTTAGAATCTATTATAAATTTAATTAATAAAATTATCACACACTTAATATATAAATATTAAATTTTAAGATGGATTTAATGATCTATTTACGAAATTTTAGGGATCCCATTTAAAATAAAATAATTACAATTAAAAAAGTTCCATTCAAATTAAAAAATTGTTTTTTGATTTAATCAGTTACATTTATTACCGATATCTAATAATAAGCCTTTGAAATAATTTATTAAATGCTTTCAAAATTAAGTAAATTTTTTTATTATCTGACTATTAAATATTACTATAAATACTAACTTATATTTTCTTTCGTTTAAAATATTAAAATTATTTATTTAATGGGTTTAATCCAATAATAAATAGCAGTGCCAAATCAATTAATATCGACGATTAATGTGCTATAAGCTTCAAATTTAAAAGATCATAGCTAAAAAGATATTATTTAAAAATTAAACAATCCTAATTTTGAATTCACTAATTACTACTTCAATATCAAAAATTAGATCTCTTTTATTTAATTAAGAGGTGGTGGATGCTGCGGAACGAAGAAAGTCTATTCTGAATTTATTTAGAGAGATAAAAATATTGATGAGAATTTTGCATTTAACTTCTAAACATTTACATAAATAATTGTTCAAAAATCATTAAATTTTCAAGATAAAATGTATTAAGATGAAGTGCTTTCAGCATTTTAGTGGTTTTAAAATAATAAAGATTAATTTCATATACTTTGTCATGATGAATCTTTAATCACAAAAAATTATGATCTAATTGAAAAAATGTCAGAATAGTTAATGAAATAATTAACTATTTATATTAAGCTTTCAGGTTTTTTATTTTATTCTTTGCTCTAAATTTGTAATGATCTATTTAGAATAATATTTTCATATTAATTAAAGAATAAAGAAAGATATATGCAAGAAGACATAAAACAAAGATTTTTGGGGTATATTTTAGAAATTGAATCTCAAATTAAAGTAGAAGTTATTAATATTTGGTTTAATGGAGTAGACTTTGAGCTCCAAATGATTAAAACTTGTATTGCTCATTGTAGAACAAACTCTGAAAAAAGTATGGAATTAGCAATATCTATAATGTGTGGATTAATGACTTCATTATCCTAATTAAAACCTAGCGATCAATTAATAAATTCATTAATTGAAGGAGGGAAATATTTACTTTTGAATTTCTATGATAAACAGATTTAAAACCCTCTACAAATATATGAAATATATTATTTTTTTGAAAACCTTAAATGGTCAATATTGAATTAATTAAAATTAGGGTACTCTATTTAGAATATTATTAATTAAATTAAAGATGGATATTCAAAGTACATAAAAGAATCGAAGGATTGGATGATACATTATTGTTGGGTAAACTTGATATCTGATCTAATGTGTTATAGACCTATAATCCATAAAAATTAATTAACAAATTTACTATCATAAGGAACATTAGATTAAGCATTTTGGGAATTACTTATAAATAAAAATTTAATAATTTAAGTGCCATATAATAAATTTGCTGGTAAACTAAAAATATTTGAAGAGCAAAATTAAATATTAAAAAAGTTTAGAACATTAAAATTATTTTAAGAGTACTTGATTTAAAATTAATTGGAGATTTAATTATTACCAAATTATATCAATTTTGATTTTAATGGAAAAAAACAGGAATAATTAAATTAGGAAGAACTTTTTATCCAACTATTAACTAATTCATCAAACTTAGAATTATTAAAAGCTTTAATAACTTAATTAAAGTCTTTTAAAGACAAGATAATAAATGATTTAGAAGCTGTTAAATAACAAGTAAGTTTATATAAATCATTGCTTTAAAATAATAGCCAAATAGAAATTAAAATTATTAAGCAAGATATAATATTTTTCATGTGTTAAATAAAACAATATAGCTTCTTATTAAAAGGTTTAATTAATGAGATAAATCTTTTAGTAAATAAAGAGCTCTTGGTGAACTCTATTTTCTAAAAAATTCTATAAGGAAATTGTGAAACTTTAAAAGAAAATCAAACAACATTAAAGCAAAATACATTAATATTAATCTAAGAAATTGAAAAAAAATATGAAGCAGAATTTTTTAATAATTTAAAAATTGTATCTAGATTTTGGATATAAATTTGTTAATTTACAACTATTTCTCATGAAGAATTAATTCTTCATAATCTTGAATTGTAAAATTCTCTTGAAGCTAAAANAGTCTTTAAATACAACAAATTATTTACTTATAGAAAAAACTGTAGAATAATTAATGAAATAACTAATTACGTATATTAGACTTTCAGGTTTTCTATTTTATTCATTGCTCTAAATTTGTAATGATTTATTTAGAATAATATTTTCATATTAATTAAAGAATAAAGAAAGATATATGCAAGAAGACATAAAACAAAGATTTTTGGGGTATATTTTAGAAATTGAATCTCAAATTAAAGTAGAAGTTATTAATATTTGGTTTAATGGAGTAGACTTTGAGCTCCAAATGATTAAAACTTGTATTGCTCATTGTAGAACAAACTCTGAAAAAAGTATGGAATTAGCAATATCTATAATGTGTGGATTAATGACTTCATTATCCTAATTAAAACCTAGCGATCAATTAATAAATTCATTAATTGAAGGAGGGAAATATTTACTTTTGAATTTCTATGATAAACAGATTTAAAACCCTCTACAAATATATGAAATATATTATTTTTTTGAAAACCTTAAATGGTCAATATTGAATTAATTAAAATTAGGGTACTCTATTTAGAATATTATTAATTAAATTAAAGATGGATATTCAAAGTACATAAAAGAATCGAAGGATTGGATGATACATTATTGTTGGGTAAACTTGATATCTGATCTAATGTGTTATAGACCTATAATCCATAAAAATTAATTAACAAATTTACTATCATAAGGAACATTAGATTAAGCATTTTGGGAATTACTTATAAATAAAAATTTAATAATTTAAGTGCCATATAATAAATTTGCTGGTAAACTAAAAATATTTGAAGAGCAAAATTAAATATTAAAAAAGTTTAGAACATTAAAATTATTTTAAGAGTACTTGATTTAAAATTAATTGGAGATTTAATTATTACCAAATTATATCAATTTTGATTTTAATGGAAAAAAACAGGAATAATTAAATTAGGAAGAACTTTTTATCCAACTATTAACTAATTCATCAAACTTAGAATTATTAAAAGCTTTAATAACTTAATTAAAGTCTTTTAAAGACAAGATAATAAATGATTTAGAAGCTGTTAAATAACAAGTAAGTTTATATAAATCATTGCTTTAAAATAATAGCCAAATAGAAATTAAAATTATTAAGCAAGATATAATATTTTTCATGTGTTAAATAAAACAATATAGCTTCTTATTAAAAGGTTTAATTAATGAGATAAATCTTTTAGTAAATAAAGAGCTCTTGGTGAACTCTATTTTCTAAAAAATTCTATAAGGAAATTGTGAAACTTTAAAAGAAAATCAAACAACATTAAAGCAAAATACATTAATATTAATCTAAGAAATTGAAAAAAAATATGAAGCAGAATTTTTTAATAATTTAAAAATTGTATCTAGATTTTGGATATAAATTTGTTAATTTACAACTATTTCTCATGAAGAATTAATTCTTCATAATCTTGAATTGTAAAATTCTCTTGAAGCTAAAATAAACTAAAATATTATAATCATCAATAACATAAATAAATATTTGGATACATTTATTGTATAAATATCTACCATAAAAAGAAGCTTTTTATCAATTTTAGAGTTATAATAATTCAAGTGTTTTATAAAAGAACCAATCTCTCAAAGAAGCATAGCATTATAAATTATTAAATAATTTAATCCAAATTTAATATTATTTTTAGTTAATGACATTCATGAACATTTTTAAGAAATGTTATAATAGAAGTTAGATATTGAAAAAGTTTCTGATATTAGACATATTTTGAAAATGGTTTATTCTAATTTAAAAATATACAAAGGATTAAAAATGATTCTTAAATTGCACCAAAGAAAATTGATATCGATTTAGACATAATTAGAAGGAGTGTTTTAAAATTCAAGTTTAGAAGTTGAAAGGTAATTTTCAAATTAAATTGATATTTACAAATATATTCATTTAAAAATAATGGATAGGAAAAAGTAGTTGTAGATGTTATTTAAAAAACATCAAAATGGCGAATTCACAAAAGATGTATAAACAGATTTCTATAATATAACAAATTAAATTAATAAAGAAAAAAATGATATAAACAACAATGATTGGTTAGAGCATATCAAATTTGATTATATACTATTATTATCCAATATCCAAATGAAATTAGAAATGATGGGTTTGGTTTAGTAAAATAACATTGTTATCTAAAAAGAAATTATAACATTATTAGACGGTAAACTTTAGGAAATAAATTAAGTTAATAAAACTAAAGAAATATTATAAAAAGACTAGGATCAAGTATAATTAAACTAAGAAAAATAACTGAAATTGCAAATGAAAGATTTATATGATTGTGAAAGTTCATTTTAAATGATAGAAAACTTAATAAATACTTCTAATAAGTTAAAAAGAATATTTTAGTCACATCTTCTTGATACAACTTCTCAATAATCATAAATAAATTAATAATTATTAAATAATTTAAAGAATACCTTTACAGCAAATTTAAATCAAACATTTATTGATTTGTTGCAATAAACTTTAAAATGTTGTTCAAAAATTAATAAAAATGAATAAATTATTTTGGATGTAGAATTTATAATAAAGCTTCAAAATTAAGCTAATATAGAATATATACCTGCCATTACACAAATATATAACTTTAATACTCTCATAATTGAAGATAAGGTAATATAAAATTCAGAAATCAAGGTTAATAAAATATAGAATATGATTATGTAATTTAAAAATGAAATGAAGACTAATTACAAAGAAGGATTTTTTGATATTTTTTAAAATTCTTCGTATAAAGTTAGGGAATTACTAGTATTCAACTTAATAAAGTTATAATCAATAGTTTAAGAATAAACAATCTCAGAATTTTGTGAAAATTTATTAAAACAAATTTGGATAATTGAAAAACATCCAAGTGTAAGAAATCTACTTAAAAATGAAGAAATGATAATGATGCAGAAGAAGTTGTTCTCAAAAGATTTACAAAATTTTTCACTTAGATTAAAAACAGAAATGCAAGCAAAATTAAAATAAATATCACAAATTGAAACCTAACTATTGCTTAGTGAAAATTAAGATGAAATGAAACTATTACTCTAACAAGCATATGATAATTTTGAAATATATTTAGATAATATTACTGATATGTCACAAAGATTAGATATTAGTTTGATATTTTTAAGAGAAATTAGTAAAGATTTGAAAAATATTAAGTCTTCTATAGATTAGGTGCTAACTAGTGTAAAAAATGTTTAAGATGATGTAAGAAGATTAAGAGGAAAGAATTTTTAGGAATTATTATACCTAAGAAAGTAGAAGATATTAATTTAACAGCACGAGAATTAATTAGATTAAGTTCATATATAGATTACAACTTAGGAATATGATCCTATCTCTGGAAATAAGAAAGCTAATAGCACTGGGTAATTCATCACATTTTTAATAGCAAATTAATATGATAATTTTGATGGAGAAGTAAATGAATTCTTATGGAGTGATTATGAAAAGAATAAGGATATTATGTTAATAAAAGGCAAAGCAGGCTCAGGTAAAAGTAGAGCATCTCGTAATATAGAAGAATTAATATGGAATTGTGATAAATTTTCACCTAATTGGATTCCAATTTATGTATCACTTCCTTCATTAATAGACCCTAATCATAATATTATTGATCAAGCTCTTGAATCTGAAAATTACAATTTTGACAAAATTTAGGTGAGAGAATTCAAAGAGGCTATAATAAATGGAAATCTTAAAATAGTATTAATTTTGGAAAGCTACGATGAGATGAAATTTAATTTTATAGGAACAAACCTTTACTAAACTAATAGACTGGCTTAAGATCTCAATATCAAAGCATCAGGATTAAATGTTAAAATTATTATTACAACAAGAGATGAAATATTAAATTCAATTGGATATTAAACATGGTTTTATGGTTAGAGTATTGATACTCTAAAAGAAGTAGAAATATTACCATTTAGTAGGGAATAAAGTTCATAGTATATTAAATTATATGTTTAAATAAGCATTAAGAGAACAATTAAAAAATTTTATGAGTTTCTTAAATAATTAAAAAGCTAGAACTTTTAATTGGATGAATTCAGATTGATATGGACTCAATTAGAAAATATAATTAATTCTATTATTTAATAATAAAAAAATTCTGAAGTGTTATTTTCAAATTAGGATGCAGAATAACTCATATAGAAAATTTAAACAGTGGAATTTTTTAGTTTTATCAATTCAAATTAAATGGTTTTTTTAAAAAAGGAATTGCTTTAATTATGGGGAGAATAAATGTTTGCGAAAGTTATTTAGANGAATTTTGTGAAAATTTATTAAAACAAATTTGGATAATTGAAAAACATCCAAGTGTAAGAAATCTACTTAAAAATGAAGAAATGATAATGATGCAGAAGAAGTTGTTCTCAAAAGATTTACAAAATTTTTCACTTAGATTAAAAACAGAAATGCAAGCAAAATTAAAATAAATATCACAAATTGAAACCTAACTATTGCTTAGTGAAAATTAAGATGAAATGAAACTATTACTCTAACAAGCATATGATAATTTTGAAATATATTTAGATAATATTACTGATATGTCACAAAGATTAGATATTAGTTTGATATTTTTAAGAGAAATTAGTAAAGATTTGAAAAATATTAAGTCTTCTATAGATTAGGTGCTAACTAGTGTAAAAAATGTTTAAGATGATGTAAGAAGATTAAGAGGAAAGAATTTTTAGGAATTATTATACCTAAGAAAGTAGAAGATATTAATTTAACAGCACGAGAATTAATTAGATTAAGTTCATATATAGATTACAACTTAGGAATATGATCCTATCTCTGGAAATAAGAAAGCTAATAGCACTGGGTAATTCATCACATTTTTAATAGCAAATTAATATGATAATTTTGATGGAGAAGTAAATGAATTCTTATGGAGTGATTATGAAAAGAATAAGGATATTATGTTAATAAAAGGCAAAGCAGGCTCAGGTAAAAGTAGAGCATCTCGTAATATAGAAGAATTAATATGGAATTGTGATAAATTTTCACCTAATTGGATTCCAATTTATGTATCACTTCCTTCATTAATAGACCCTAATCATAATATTATTGATCAAGCTCTTGAATCTGAAAATTACAATTTTGACAAAATTTAGGTGAGAGAATTCAAAGAGGCTATAATAAATGGAAATCTTAAAATAGTATTAATTTTGGAAAGCTACGATGAGATGAAATTTAATTTTATAGGAACAAACCTTTACTAAACTAATAGACTGGCTTAAGATCTCAATATCAAAGCATCAGGATTAAATGTTAAAATTATTATTACAACAAGAGATGAAATATTAAATTCAATTGGATATTAAACATGGTTTTATGGTTAGAGTATTGATACTCTAAAAGAAGTAGAAATATTACCATTTAGTAGGGAATAAAGTTCATAGTATATTAAATTATATGTTTAAATAAGCATTAAGAGAACAATTAAAAAATTTTATGAGTTTCTTAAATAATTAAAAAGCTAGAACTTTTAATTGGATGAATTCAGATTGATATGGACTCAATTAGAAAATATAATTAATTCTATTATTTAATAATAAAAAAATTCTGAAGTGTTATTTTCAAATTAGGATGCAGAATAACTCATATAGAAAATTTAAACAGTGGAATTTTTTAGTTTTATCAATTCAAATTAAATGGTTTTTTTAAAAAAGGAATTGCTTTAATTATGGGGAGAATAAATGTTTGCGAAAGTTATTTAGAATATTAATATATTTCATTTAATGAGTACTCCTTTTATGATGGAAATTATTGTTTACATTTTACCAAAAATGTTATAATTTTATTCATCATCTAATTTAATTCGAGATATTTTATAAAAAAACTTTATGGTTTTGAAAAGAGAAGCTAAAAAATCAGAAACGAAAATTTAAAAATATTCATCAGCTTAGAATTTTTAAAGAATGAATAAAATTAGGATTGATGAATAAAAATTAGAATTTGAAATATTGGAATAATTTAATTCAATTATAGAAGATTTGGATAATTAAAATTTTTTTGAATCATTTTCTTTAGCAAATTCTATAGAATTTATAAATAACACTACCATTTTTTCTAACAAAAACTTTAAAGTTAAATTTGATTCCAATTTTATTGTTTCTGCTTTCAAATTACCTTAATTTACAGCATTTGATTTTTACCAAATTTTTGTTGATTTCTATCATAATTAACAATTATCAAAATTGAAAGATTTAGGTAAAAGTCTTTAACATGAAAGTTTTTTATTAGACTTATAAGACTTTTCAATTTATTTGGCTATAGATATGTCTTAGAGATAAATTACTTAAGTAAATTATTAATAAAAAGGAAAATTATTTATATAATAAGTTGAGGAAGAGAGAAGAATCGAGGTTTCTTGGGAAGATGCTTATTTTAGTGAAAATTAAGAAAATTTTGAATACAAAGGACTTTTAAGAAAGTGTATGTTGATTAATTAGAAAGGTGGCGTTTATGCCTTCAATCACAAATCCATTTAGGAGTATTTCGTGGCTAAATATCTTTTGAATTTATTTCAAAAAATCTTTATTAATGAGAAATAAATAGTTAATGAAACATCATTATATAAAAGTAGTTTTAATAAGGATTTATTTAATTTATCACAAGAAAATTACACAGGAACTTTAGAATTATTAAAACCAAAAATAACAAAGATTGAAAAAATAAATAAGAAACTAATTTAATTAGCATTATTATCAAAAATAGATTCAGATTGTAAATATATAAGATCTGCTTCAAATTCAATTTTTCTTTTAGGTTATTTAAAAGAACATTTCGAAAATATTGATTTTAGTAAAATGTAGTTAGCAGATACAAAATTGAATGGAATAAGTTTTTATAAGTGTAATTTGAATAACACAAAATTTTAAAATGTTTCAATAGATTCCTGTAATTTTAATTGCGCAAAAATTGAAAATGCAAATTGGATAAATATGATTTGTAAAGAAAAACCATCCTTATTTGGTCATCAATCAAAAATAAATTAAATAGCTTTTAGTGAAGAAGGAAATAATTTAATATCAAGTAGTAAAGATGGAGTTATAAATCTATGGTAATTATAAGGAAATGAGGAACCTAAGAGTGTAAGTTTACCAAATAATGAAATATTGTTAAAATTCTCTAAAAGTAATAATTTGCTTGCATGTCTTGCTGAGAATACTATATATTTATTTAATCCAAATGAATTGAGTTAAATTAAATATTAAACAATAAAAAATTATGAATACTAAGATCTTTATTTATCTTACGACAGTAAATATTTAGCAGCAGAAACAATTTCAAATCAAATACACTTCTGGCAAATCCAAAATCTACAACAAAAATAATATTCATGCTAATAAAAATATATATCAAAAGGAAAGAATTAAGGTTCTATTAGGAGTATTGCATTCTCCTAAAATTTTGAACTCTTAGCTACTGGTGGATCACAAATTAAAATTTGGAATGCTAAAAATATTAAGGATATTTAAGAAATACTAGAATTTCCAAAATAAGATTCACTTATAAATGCAATCACATTTTCAAAAGATTGTAAGATCTTATTAACTGGAGGAGAAAATAAGAAAATAGAATTCTGGAATATTGAAAACTTAAATCAGGTTTATTTGCTATTTTCATTATATTAATAAAATCGCGTAGAATAAATATCTTATTCAAATGATGGTAAATATTTTGCTTCAAGGTCTGACTCATCATTGAAGTTATATGAAGAATAATAGATATTAGATCAATAAGACTTTTTCAGAATATAAACTCCATTTCAAGTTGGTCTTATAGAAATATCGTCAAATACTTAAATTTTAGCTTTTTGCAAGAAAAGTTCCCCTATAATTTAAATATGGGATATCAAAAACCTTCATCAAAATAAGATGCTCTGTACGTTTGAAGAATAAAAAAAAAACATTTCGTGCTTAAAATTTAGAAATGATAGTTTAGTTTTAGGCTCAGCTAGCCAAGATAAAACTATTTGCTTATGGGATTTATAAAAACAAAGATTAATTGTAAAATTAGAGGCTCATACAGACGAAGTATTAGATTTTGGATTCTCAATTGATGGAACAAAAATGGTATCATGCAGTTATGATAAGACAATTATTTTTTGGAATTTAATTAATTTGGATAAACAATAGGTGTAACTATAAATGTAATTGCCAATTCAAGCAAATAAAGTTATGTTTTGGCCGAATACATAATTTGTTGTATCTTCTATACGTAAATAATCAAAAGAAATCAAGTTATGGGATTCAAATGAATTCAATCTAATTTAAAGTTTGGAAATTGAAGAAATATTTTTGGACATACATTGTAGTATAGATGGTGAATTTATGGCATCATTAAGTGAAAACAATATTCTTAGATTATGGAAAATATGTGAATAATCCATTAAAATTGACAAAAAAATTAAATTAAATCAGTGTGATTCTGTTAGTAAAATACATTAATTTAATAATTAAAGTATTATTGTATCTGGTTATCATGGTTATCAATTAAAAATTCAAGAAGAAGGAATCATCAAAATATTACATTGCTTCAATTTTGTGGTACATATTTACTGCATGTCAGTAGCATAAAATTAAAAATTTATTGTAAGGGAAGCTGATCAAGGAGTAGATATTACAATTATTGAAAATGAAATTAGTCGAAATATTTTTAATTTAACAAGTCATTGCAACGATTTTTAATTTTCTAATGATTCCTCACTTATTGCTGTTGCTACTTCTAGTGGAGTATTTATTAAAAATATAAGAACTAATTAAATAATATTGAATTTAAAATAAGATGAAAGTTGTATATCTGTTTGTTTCATTGGTCAAGATTAATTAGCAATTGGATAACGGAAATGTTAATTTATTTTATATAGTATAAAAGATTCTTAATCTACCTAAAAATTAACTAATATATATTTACCTTGTATTCCTTAAAAATTGTTATTTATAGAACAAAGATAATAACTGTGTATTTATAGCAATAAAAGTTATTTAATATTGTTAAATTTATCAAAATTAAATGAAATTTAATTGGTCTAAGTTGATAAAGGCAATAAATCATTAGATTTTGTCTTAGATTCTAGTTAATTATTTTTAGGCGTAGGTTTTCAAAATGATATTTATTTTTGTTCATTATCAGATACCATTCAAATGGAGAAAGTATTCTAACCATAAGAAAATTTATAACTATCTTTATATAAGAACTTTGCATTAAACGATAGCAATATTTTCACAATTGTTTCAAAAACATCAATATATACTTAATTTGATATTAATTCTAATGTGATTCAAAACTAAGATCTGAAATTCAAGTATTTAACTTTTTTAACATTTAATCATTAATAG